TGGAGATAAAGATGATAGATGATTGATAGGAAAGAAGAAGCAAACCACATCAGAGCACCCGCCAACCAACTACCACAAATCTATGACGAGAGGAACAGCGCATTTCAACTGATGGCTGAGCAGACAAAACACTCAACATAAAGTTGGGTTGGGTTGGGGGGTTTTTTGTAGTTGTTTTTTTGTTGCTGTTTTTTTTTTTTTGCCCAACCTCAAGTACTAAAAGGTCCTAGCAATTTATAAAATAATCATGAGTACACACAATGACACTTTTTTTCCCTCAAGCTGGTGTCCATTTTAATATCTCTAAAAACATACACACCTTTCAGCATCCAAAATTGGAAAACGCCACTCTTTGCTTTAAAGAAGGATGGAACAAAAAAGACATCAAATGAGAGACAACATAAGAATCTCCACTGCTGGGTTAGCTGCTTGAAACATATGTGTGTCTCAACGCGGGGGAATCAGGCGCTCGTCAATATTCGGGCATGTGCAGTTTGAGTTATTGGTACGATCTGAAAGCTTATTCATTTGCCTTGCTTTCAAGGAAAAAAATACCCATCTATCATGATTAGAAGTCCAGATATTTACCATTGAAGGGGGTGGGGTCGTCTGATTTCAGTGAAAAAATTAGCGAAAAAATTGCCACCAAATTTCGATAACTTCAATAGCTTGTGAGTCCCTCAAAACTGAAAAACTACATATTTTGTGCCATTAATCAACGTTTTCAGTCAAATTCACATAGTAATGTGTTTTTGGTATGGACATAAACGTGTTGAGCCAAAATATAAAAAAACTTTAAAAAATTGCCAAACTAGCAAAAAAAATGCCCATTTCTTCCATTTAATTATTTTGACGAGCGCCTGATTTCACCACGATGCTTCACATAATATGCTCTAGGGACAGTCTCTTGGTTTACTATGCCATCAGGAACGCACACAGGAGCAAAAGCCTTAACATGGAATGACTTCAGATGGCTTGCGTGGTCGGGCAGTAGGTTTAGGGTTGAGAAATAAGCCGAAATATAGAATAACTCTTTTCAATATCACTTTGTAAAAAAACAAAGTTATAACTAACCTGACACAAAAATGTCGGAGCCCCCCAAAAAAAGAGAATGAGTTGTAAATTGACAGAACATTTCTGTGGAGTTGACATACCATTCACTAATTGTCATTAACAACAGTTCGAACAAACTGATGTTAGATAAACAATCATGACCTTGACCATCAATGATTTATTTATAGGGGCACCAGCCATCCATGTCCAGGTGCTGTTTTAGCCTATAAACAATCATATCAAACAAATGGATGATGAAAGTATTCTCAAAACTCTGCAATAACTTAAAAGACAAAACAGTCATAAGGATGGCACATACTTAACCAAAGTAACATTTAAAAAATGGTTTAAAAACTTGTTCCAAAAGAATCGAATGAATGGATACGGAAAACATCAATCACATAGACACCATAATCTTGAAAATAATCTGTTTCAAAGTAATGAAGACACAAAATCTCAAATGAAACTTGTAAAAAGAGAGAGAAAAGAAAGAAATTAAATGTGAAAAGAAAAAAGGCAAAAGACTAGAACACTTCAATTAATGAGTGTGACGTTAGGCAAGAAAGATTTTTTCCCCCCGAATACGACATAACGTTGTAATACACGTTTTTCCACTTAATGAGACTTCACACAATGCGAGCTCTTGTTCAGCAAAGGAATTTTTCAGAGCACTTTCTGTTTTTCTCCATGAAGTACAACACACACCCACACAAAGCCAGAAGCACATCCTTCTGAATTAATAACAAAACCAAGCAGTATTTCCAACAATCTCCCCCCCCCCCCCAAACCTCTCAAAACCTGTGCTTTCACACAAAATATGCAATTCCAACAACTTTCCCAACACCCCTCCACCCAAAAAAAAATTAATTAAATCAATAAATAAATGAAACCCACACTTTCGCAAAGTCACACACATGTAAGCAAGCAGACAACCGACTCAGGAATCAGAAAAGAGCTCTGTTCAAAAACATGACGAGTATGGCGGACCCAAAGACGGAGACGGTGAAGCCCAACCCTTCTGGCTGGCCAATCAGCTCCCTCAGCCACACGATCGCCTTCGCCAGCCAGTTGTCAGCGCGAAACTTTCTGGGTGCGTCATCCTGAGGTGAAAAAAAAACATTTTCCAGCTTTCAGCAAAAAGTAAGAGTATGGGCTTATAACGCCTCCTAACATCACTATTAGGTTAATTATGAGACGGGAACCTCAAAATTTAATGTCTGTCTCTGATACAAAATGACCTCAGTTAGAAAATCCCGCAATTTGAACCAGGGCCATCTGCTCCGATGTCCTACGTGATACCAACCAAGTTAACAGAGAGCACCCATTTTCAGTTTGAAACAAAGTGTTTGATAAAGATAAAATAACTCAAAAACTTTACTCCATCTCTGTAGAAATGCGATTTATGATAATGAGTGAATAAACATTCAGAGTGTATAAAACATAATAGGAATGAAAATTTCAATCCACTCAAACACAATAACAACTTCACTGCTGTAACCACACAGACAGAAACTCTTTGTTCCAAGTTTGGATTAATAAAGATCTATGTATGAAACTCTGAGGAAACCCATCATAAGGTGAAATTTTCCTAAAACGACAATTTTGCGTAAATGTACTTGAAAAGCTTCCCGTCCTTCTTGAACATTTTATGCTTTATTTTGGAGCAACTTTGTTCTTTCTATCAACACTTCCTGCACTTCAAAAGGGCTCAGGGGTGCAAAGGATACGGAATGAGAAAGGCTCGAAAGTCTCTAAAGTGAGACTGCACAAAAATTGAAATATTTGGTTTACCGCTGTTTTCGGATCATTAACGTTCGGTTCAAACATACTCCAATGTAATTCATTAAATACTCACATCAGCCAACTTGACATGCTTGAGGTAATCCTGGAATGACTTGTCTGACATAGCCAGTGCAGGAAGGTACTCCGCCTTCTTCTCTCTCTTCCACCAAGCACTGCAAGGACAATATTAGATAGGCATTTATTTTCTATACCCTTTGCCAACACAGCATGTGAAACTGATCAACCCGGAAAAATGATATGGTTTGTAAACGCATAAGCTTACATTGCATTTGCAAATATAAAGACAGTTAAAATAGACACAACTAATATGGGGTTAAACAGAAAACAAAATGCTGAGAATAATAGCTATTCATTTTACCTTCGTTTTTGCTTGAAAAAAATGACGTAGATTTCTGGATTTCATCTGTATCCTATTTTCTGGAGAAAAAAATTCCCTAACGTTCCTTGTTTCAGTTTTCAGTGAAAATATTGGGGGGGGGGGGGGGGGGGGGGGAGAGGTAGGTAAATTAAACCTGGAAAAACAACATCCTTGCTCCGTATAGCAATATATTAAAAAAACTTTTTTAAATAATAAAAAGATTTTAAAATTCTATTTAAATAAAAATTCCCCGTCCAACATACCAGTTAGCCTTGCCAGCGCAGTCCTTGGGGCTGGTGTAGTGGTAGTGGTAGAGTGTGGCGCGGATGTACTTGGGCGGCTCCTCCGGGAAGGGGTTGTGGGCGATCAGCTCAAGGACGTCGGGCTCGTTCTGCAGCAGACGGTAGACCACGTTCAGGAACCACGAGTTGCCCTGGTAGTTGCCCAGGGCTGCGAACCACATCTGCCAGTCCAGGCGGGGCTGATGAGGGGCTGTCAGGGTGCAACATTTTTTAAAGTTTTAGTAGAAGTTTTACGGCGCTCGCAACTGCATAAGGTCATATGAGCGCCAGAAGATTAGACGTGTTACAAGAGAGTAACAAACATTTTTTTAAAAAGGGGTAGATAAGGACGATAGATGTTTGATAGGAAAGAAGAAGCAAACTATACCAGAGCACCCACCAACCACCCACAGGAGCAAAATGTTTGGCGTTGCGGTGAGATCAGGAACTTGTTAAAATATAATGATAAAATCGAAGAAGTTGGTATTTTTTCCACCCATTGGCCAATTTTGATCAAGTTTTGTTTTGGGCTCAATATCTTTTATGTCCCTTTAAAAACATATTTCTGATTGGATGTTCTATCCCTCTCAACCAAAGGCGAAGAAGCCCGCATTTTAAAAGATTTTTTTGTTGCTCTTGGCCATTTATATGAGATTGACGCTATCAGATTAGAAGAAAAAAGTGCATATGATAGTGTCCAATAGTGTATTACGTGCATACTTAGTATAACAAGTAACTGTAATGGCAGATAGAGATTCCAGGATTATAGATGTAAGTCACTGATCAGAGAGCGGTGATGATTTTAGCTATAATGGTGGTGATGAGTGATGATGAGAGATTGCGTTTAAGTAATGTTAGCGTTAGCCCTATCTTCCTCTGCTCCAATGAGTCACGAGGGACATGGTCACCCTCTATCCCGTTCCCTACTGGAACCATCTTTACAGTCACCGTGCAGTTCCGAAAAGGTGGGCTCAGTCTCTGCTAAGGTGACATTGTTAGTGTTAGCCTAACCTTTTAAATTATTTAAATTGTGTTCATAGGGGTGTAAAACATCTACTATTACAATTTTATCAAATGATAAGTTGACATTCAAACAGAATGAAACTATCATCCTCATCATCAAGTGCAAGCTCTGTGACAGACATCTACAATCATGGCTCTCCATTCCTTCCTTTGCTCGGATGCTTAAAAAAAAAAAAGTGACATTATCTTGACCTGTTCTCGTCATCCATACTGAAACTTCAGAGGCGGGGGGGGGGGGGGGAAGGAATAAATTCTCACCAACAACAGGAGGGGCGGCAGACACATTGCCTGGCTTGTACAAAAACTCGTACGCTTTCCAGTCCTTGGTGGCTGCTCGTTCACTTGCATGGCCCTCGACTATGAGCTCAGGGCGGCCGCCTACGCCAGTCATCCTGTGAGGGAAAGCATCATAGAGTTAGTTTAAGCTTTAGTTAAGAGTTTTACAGCACTTGCAACACATTAAGGGTCATATTAGTTCCGAAGATTAGAGGTGTTACAAGAGAGAAGCAAACACAAAAAAGAAGGAGGGGAGATAAGGACGATAGATGATTGATAGGAACGAAGGAGTAAACCACACCAGAGCACCTGCCAACCACCCTCAAGTATCATTGAGTTCAGCTAGAGCTCATTAACCCTTTGCTGTCAAATCTCACTGATCGGCAATGTTTACCACCCAGTTTCTCTGTATTTTCCCCCAAATGTCTTTGCCTTTGATGGCAAGGGATTTTACTATATGAGCCTTGTGATGGCAAAGTGTTAAATAAATCAAGGTAAGTGTACCCGGTTAACTGGTTTCCACCCCCCCCCCCCCTCACCACCACCCCTTTAATTTTATCAAAATCAACATCGTTATCATATTGTCCTCCCCCACAACATACAAACAAGATAGATAGTCAGAAACATTATTCTATATATAGATATAATATTTACAACCTTAATACAATCCCAATATTTCTACAAACACAATCAGTACGACTTTATGAAAAAGACACAAGGGGAAAAAACTTGTTCCCGACAGTAATAGTTCAAATTTGAGCTCAGATTTTTGTTATATAGACCTATCAAAAGTTCTGACATTATAGTTCAGAGCCATGAAAGCATCTACAAATTATAACAAATGATGCGAGCATTGATATTTAAAAAAAAAACCCAACTGCAAAGCAATTCTCTTTTAGACATTGAGAATACAACACAAAAGAAAATGTAAAAGAAAATAAATAAACTTTTATCACGAAAACGTAGAAAACTTTATCTGTTTCCTTATTCTTTTACTTCTTAACAGCAATAGGCCTACTTTCACTGCTCCTGAATGAAATGAACAGTCCAAGTTCTTTTACAAACAATTCTACTTAGCAAGTATGTGTAGTAATGTGTAAGAATATGTATAACATTTTAAAAATAATCCCAAAATCAGAATAGACCATTAACATTTTATTTCAATCAAACATAGAAATTTCACCCTTCTTTCAACATGGTTTAACACAATCTAAATCAAAGACAAGCATGTAAAGTTAGATTTATCGACACAACTCCCCTTATGTGTGGCTTTCTTATTAATCATCACATAACATTTTCAGCAATAAACATTATTGTAAAAGCTACAAAATTGTTTTAACAATGCTAACTATTCAAATAAAAAATAAACATATGATATTAAACAAATTCAGTTAAGTGTGGATTTTTCTATACAATGATCACATAAAATCTTAAGTAATAAATATTAATGGAAAAAAGCAATACATATGTACTTAGGAATCTAGAAAAAAAATAACAACTGGGAACAAAGATAAACCTGTTAAAAGCGAAAGAAAAAGAAAACAATTAGAAAGCCCAAATCCAACAAAGTGTAAGTTAAGGGTGCATGCAAAAACTGAATCCCAAGCCACGCACAAAAACAATAAAACAAAAAATAAGCACTGGAAGCGTTTTAATACAACACTGATCTTGGGGAAATGCATGAAAAGTGATAAAAATATATAAAAGTTAGAAGAGCTGATGGAGTATCGGGAACAAGTAAAGGGAATCTTACTTCTTTCCAGATCACAAATTCTGCTCACTTATTCAACATTTTAAAAATAAAAAACAGCTCTATTGGCACAAGCCAAGGAAAGTGTTATACTAAAGTACTGTGAGACTTTTGAGCAGTGGAAAATAATCCACCTACATCTTACAAAATAATAAATGTGAACATTTTGTTCCAGTATGTCAGTCATAGTCCAGTAAGTCAGCATAAAAGTGGATACATTTTGCCAGAAACAGCTTAGGGTAGTAAGAGCAATGCTGAAAAAAAGTAGAAGCTGCAAAGCACACAAGAGCGTCTATCATACACACACGCATACATGTGGTGTAAATAGCGAGAGCCCCCAACCCCCCTCGCTCCCAACCCAAAACTTGATAGCTGCCAACTTTGTTGTAACCAACATTATGACTACTGCCAGTTTTGTTGTTGTTGTTGTTTTTTTGCTTCCTGATTAACATTAGTATTGTGAAAATAACTGAAGAATCCACTCGCTGCACAACAGGTCTGCCACTGTAAATACAGCCACACACGACATGCAACAAGGAAAGAGAGACATATCACTGGTGACTAAAGCAATCCGCAGAACTAAAACAATAAAAAAGACTTTCAATTCAAAGTCTGGACCACAATAATGGATCTTTTAATACAAGCCTAACACATTTTAACAAGTAAAACTATTGTTTGCTTTAGTAGAGGTTTTACGGCGCTCAAAACCACAAAAGGTCATATGAGCGCCAAAAGTAAAACTATGACTTAACATGCACAAACAATGAGTTAAAAAGTTAACAATTGTGACAACTGCCAAATCACTTTCGTTAACAGCTCCGCAAGTGGCTGCTGTTTCCTAAAATAAAAAAATGAAAACAAATGCCAGCCAGTAAAATCTTCATAGTGCTTTCCGTAATGACTTAAAGTTGTGCGGACTGCTTGCAATCTGACGAAAGTGTGCAAGAACACAGAGGTGGGAACAAGGGGCAGATGGTGCAATGTTATTACGAATAATAAAACCATCATTAAAACTGATCAAACCCAGCTATACTTCACACTTGAGTGGAAACACTTCAACAAACGCTATTTTCATTTCAGAGGTGCCTTTGCAAATGACATTCACAATCTCATTCTCTTTCTTGAGGAAGTGAGAGAATTGTTTTCAAATTCTGGTGGGTTTTTTTTTACAGCAGCTCATGCTGACTTATAAAGGGTTTTTTTTTCTCTCTTCTTTTTCCACACAATCTAAAAAAGCACATTGCACCCTCTGTCCCTCTTCAGATTCTCTTCACAGAAGTGTCGGCTTACGTTCTAAACAGGCCATACGAGCTGGTCAACTGAAAGGGTTCTAGCTTATCGTGCCACGTCTTGGCGTACTTGGGCAGGGCTTGGTGGGCCTTATCGCTCACGTAACTGTGAGGAACCTGCGAGGGGGAAAATAAAAGTACCAAAACACTTTTGTGAAAAATCCACTGGGAAAAAGAGGGAGAAAAAAAAAATCAGCTGTCAGCCTGCAAAGGTGGTCAAGCAAAGCTTCACAAACGCTTGATTTCAGAGACCGTTTCAAAGTATGTGATTCCGAACCCAGAACTGAGAGTGGTCTATACCGTATGATGAAAATACAGATTTGAACTTCGGGGCAACTTTGGAAGGTTTCAACAAAGTGAGCGTTTCTGAGACGAATCTGCTTCATGAGAACTTTAGCGACTGAGCGTCTTTACATTCTACATAGTATGACTCATACTGAAATCCATCCTTTACACAAAACAGAGCTCAACCCTTTTTTAAATAAAACCTGAACGACAAAAAGATAACCGATACCATCAGGATTTTTTCCCGCAAAGACAAAAATGTACTCTCGAATTTGGAAAGGCAAATCAAAACGCCCAAGCTCATTCCAAGACTCAAAGACAATGCACACGAGAAAAGAGTGAAAGAAATAGAAAAGAAAAAAATAATACATTTCATGCCCACATACTGTTATATATGTGGCTGAAATGTTTAAAAAGGAATACATCCATCATGTTCCCCTCTCTAGCAACTAACTTCCAAATTTTCTGCCAACAGCAAGTGTGATCAGCTGCAACAAAGATTGTCTTTGTGTTTCTTGTGTTCTTTTGTCAGATTATGGATGCTTATATAATATTTGAAAGGATAGTTGTACACTGAATGGGCCAGTATGCAGGTAATATGTCAGTAAGTGTGTAAGCCGTCAAATGTTTGATTTTTATTGTTAAGCACCTAGAGCCCCCTGGGAGTGGATACTAAAGTAGAAGCAAGTCATCTTTATTAGTATCATTACTATCACCATTCTATAGCGAATAACCTCACGACAACGAAGGGATGTACATGTGAAATAAATTCACCATCTTGGGTAATACGGAAATTACGTAGACTACAGTTCACATTCCCCTTCGCAGACACACACTCCCTCTAACTAAACACTTCTCCTGTTCAGTTTCAGTTTGGTACAAAAAATTTTATGATGCTCGCTAAACACTTCTCTTGTAAACTTTTTAGTTTTAGTAAGAGTTTTACGGCACTTGCAACACAATAAGGTCATATAAGTGCCGAAGATTAGAAGTGTTACAAGAGAGTAAAACAGAAGGAGGAGAGGTCAGGACGATAGATGTTTGAAAGGAAAGAAGGAGCAAACCACACCAGAGCACCCGCCAACCACCCACTCCTGTAAACTTTATCCTTACTCTTCACCTTCTCAAGAAAGGCTCCATTCTCAATACGTTGACTACGGTAGCACTACAGGTGTGAAGTAATTTGATATAAACAACAAAGCTAGACCAGGGATGCCAAATGATTTTTGAAAAAAAAAAATGGAAAAAGAGCGGAGCATCACATCTCACCTAAACCTAACCTTGTAAAGTTTTTAAATGAGCAAACAAAAACATATTGTTCTCTCTTACCTCTCCCCTATTCCAACCGATGAAAAAAAAAAACGGAAAAAAAAAAGAAAAAAACCCACACATTTGGCATCCCTGCTAGATACACAAGTAAGCCAGTAACTAGTCTATTATTACGACAAGCAGGTTTATCACTCTGGTGTTAGTAGCTTCCTAGACCTATGTCCCCAACAATACGCTAAAATAGTTTTCCTGTTGTGACATGTTCAAACATTTCTTTGCTGTTAGTGATCCAATTTCAGGTCGTGATAAGAGTATGTTTGCTACAAAACATTTCTTTGTTGATATTAATCCAATTTCAGGTCGTCATAAGAGTAGGTTTGCTGCAAAACATTTCTTTAAGTGCCTAAATCTTCATTTTTCAAGTCTTATTAGCATCAATAGCTATACTATAAATTTCAAAACAAGAAGTTTCAAGCAAAGTTTACGGTAAGGTTGACTTACCCAGAGCAAACAAATTCAATTATGATATTGATTTACACGCGACTCTCCACCAGTAGTAGCTCTGACAGCCAAACGTTCTTCCTAAACATATCATTTGTTAAATTTATGCACACACTGTGAGAGTGACGGTGTGGTAAAACAACCGACTAGAGACAAAACTAAACTTTTTGTGAACCAAAAATGGAAAGAAAAAAGAAAAAACAATACTCACACGGGTCACAACACATTAGGTCACACACCACTATAGAATTATTACAAAACTAAATCCATCTCAAAATATACGGCTTTTATGTAGACTAAAGGGAAGGAAACAAAATTAGTATGGACGAAAAAATTCATAACTGTGCCCTCACCAAATAGAAAAAAAGAATTAAAAGGGAGACGAAAAGACTACAATTTCATCGGCGACGGAGAGTGGGAAACATTTCAACGGCTCAGCGTAAGATTCCCTCATACGTCACTTTTCAAAATGGCATATGGCGGAGGCTTACACTAAGCAGTCATCGATTTTCAGTTTCTAGCTTAACCGCGCAGTGTGGCCAAAAACAATAAGCGCCATGCACTTCAGAGAGAGAGAGAAAAAAAAAGCTGGATACCAAGTTAGAGCACGACACCACGGGTGAAAATGTGAAAATGCAAAGACTACGGAGTAAAAGGTGGGGGGGGGGGGGAGGGTTGGTTGGGGGTTTGGGGTGCGGACAGGCGCGGCAGATACCTCCTAAAGAGCCCGTAAGAGCTAGTGATATGGAATGGCCTGGCCGCGCTATGGTAGGTCAACACTGGCTTAGGCAGTGCTGACTGGGTCGGTTTGTGGACAGTGGTGTGTGGTACCTGTTAGAGGGGGGGGGGGAGAACATTTAGTTTTGGTCAGCAGAGTTTCAGAGTTTTACAGCACTCCCAACACAAATAGGTCATATGACTGGCCAGGATTAGGGACGTTACTAGAGAGCAACATACAAAGTAAAAAAAAGGAGTTTCAGAGTTTTACAGCACTCCCAACACAAATAGGTCATATAATTGGCCTGGATTAGAGACGTTACTAGAGAGCAACATACAAAGTTTAAAAAAATATATATATAAAAATAAAAAAAGAGGAGAAATAAGGATGATAGACTTTTTTTAAGCAGATAAGAAAGAAGAAGCAAACCATACAAGAGCACACGTCAACCACCCAAAAAGAAGATTAAATTTGTCATTAATCTTGCAACCCGGGGGTTAACAGTTTTTCATCCCAAAATGAAGAACACAAGGCGAGTCCAAAGAAAGACACAGGCCAGACAATCTTTGTTCAACAACAAATCGTAGTACTGAAGTTTTGTTCTCTCTTGTTTTTCAAGTATTCATAAACAAAATGTTTGAATATTTGTTTGTTCTTTATTTAACTCTTTATCTCCGGCAAGTCGCTCCCAGCGCCCCTTAGTCGAAACCACTGTGCCAGTGAGCTGCTGACAGCGGCTCGGGCACAATCCTTTACAACGACTTTGACATCAAATTACTTTTTGGGAATTGCCGAAAACAAGTCTCTTGTACTGGAAGTTCATTCATTAGATGAAAAACTATCAAAACAGGTTTGCTACTTTCGATTTAATGACCCATTTAATAACATTTTTATCATTTTTAGATTTAACACCAAAAAAGGGCCCCGACATAGTGGGTTTACCCCCGGACAAAACTTCTCTCAACACAATGTTAGCTTTTGTGAAAAGTCTCTTGTTTTTCATGTATTCACTGACAACAGGTTTGAACGTTTTCTCTTTTCTTATTTAAGGACTAAGCTCCTCTCAACGCAATGTTAGCTTTTGGGAAAAGCAGATCTTTTAATATTTATTGAACCAATGAACTAACTCAGAGGTAGTGAAATATTTTTTACTGCTATTTCGCGGTGGACACATCGCCACTGATTTAAGTCTTAGTAGGAGTGTGTTAGCAGGTGCTTGATGTGTCTTGTTTTCATTGGTGTCGTTATGAGTATATAATTAATGTACGGCAGAGAAAGTTCTTTCTTTTGGGGTAGAACTGGTTTTCTTCATTATATGAAACGTTTCTTCTTGCGTGTGTGTGAGGTTTTACTCTCAGTAATTATATCATCAATATGCAGCTCTCAGAGCTTATACTTTTAAAGGATAGACAGCTATATAAATGCACTCTATTATTTTTATCATTATCACTTATTATTATTTTTATGAATATTATAATTATTTTTATGAATATTATTATTATTTATTATTATTATTTTTATTAATGTTATTATTTATTATTACTCTTTTTTTATTATTATTTTTTATTATTATTTATTAATATTACTATTTATTTATTATCATTATTACTAGTTTACACAGCAGTTTGAAAGTAGGCTTGGTTCCACCTGACGTAGAGCACTCAAAAGGACAACCTTAAAAGTACCGGCCATGTTATAATCGAAGTAGAAAGCGTAAACACTATTTCAAACAACCAAGATTCAGAAACACTCAGGCAAGGATTTGAAGCCTCGAGTCGCCTGTATAGTAGTCTCACGTTGAAAATCACAACTTTGATTTTAAAAATGTAGACTCTAAATCTCTCAAAAGAGTTTTGACAAAATGAGTTTTGACTAAATAAGTTTTAGTATAAGTCTCAAGCTGGAAATCACAATTGTCATTCAAAGACAAAGATTTCTACAAATTATCTCAAATAAGCTTTCACTCTTCCTTTGCTAGTGAAGGAGAACAGCTTTGGAGTCACACATACTTTAGAAGGCTCTTTTATTTTATCTTTTTAAAAAGAAGTTTCTGTACACATATTGAGACAGCTCACTCTATGCGTGTTGTGTTATACAAATTTAGTGTTGGATTGGGTGAAACCTAGCTGTTGAGTGAAACCTTGAGTCAGATGAAACCTTTTGTTAGGAGAAACCTAGCATTGGGTGAAACCCAGTAGCATTGAATGAAACCTAGTAGTGTTGGGTGAAAAATCGAAAGTAGGATGAAACCCAGCGTTGGATGAAATCTAGAGTAGGATTAAACCTAGCACTGGATGAAATCTAGAGTAGGATGAAACCTAGCATTGGATGAAATCTAGAGTAGGATGAAACCTAGCATTAGATGAAATCTAGAGTTGGATGAAATCGAGCGTTGGATGAAATCTAGAGTAGGATGAAACCTAGCGTTGGATGAAATCTAAAGTTGAATGATACCTAGCGTTGGATGAAATCTAGAGTTGGACCAAACCTAGCTTTGGATGAAATCTAAAGTTGAATGATACCTAGCGTTGGATGAAATCTAGAGTTGGACCAAACCTAGCTTTGGATGAAATCTAAAGTTGAATGATACCTAGCGTTGGATGAAATCTAAAGTTGGATGAAACCTAGCGTTGGATGAAATCTATAGTAGAATGAAACATAGCGCTGGATGAAATCTAGAGTTGGACGAAATCTAGTGTTGAGTGTGTCCCATTTACTTCTGTACTGAACAGAAGATGCAATTGGAATCCAATAGTTACATTACGAATATAAGCAATATGTACTTCTTCCATCCGAGATATTAACATCAAAGTTTCGCCTGCTCAAAGTAAGTGTTTTTCGGCACTCGCAACAACATAAGGTCATATGAGCATGCGGGACACACCAAACATTTTCAATTGTTGGAAATTTTGAATTTTGACTGGGTGACGGCCAAAGCCTACTCTTCGCCTGCTCTGTCTCATATTTTCTAAGCTATATTCAGAGTTGCAATTTGTTTTTTTTAAAACAAAATCGCAACTGCATTGACATACTGATATATGATTAAACGTAGACTGACACTGATGTGAAACTTTCTCATTTTCTTTTAAAATTGCATCAAACAAACCAGATGCTCGGAAACAATGCAAAAAGTCATTTTTTTTTTAATTTAAAGAGTTCATGCAAAAGTCAAGTACAACCTCTAAAGGATCCAATTCAATCTGATTCTCCAACCCAATCCAATTCAATCTGATTCTCCAACCCAATCCAATTCAATCCCATTCTCCAACCCAATCCAATTCAATCTGATTCTCCAACCCAATCAAATTCAATCTGATTCTCCAACCCAATCCAATTTCAATCTGATTCTCCAACCCAATCCAATTCACCAATCCAGTCCCCCTATGAACATGCAGCCTGTCAGACTGTGAGGCACCCACAGAAACCAACCATTCACATATTGCCATGGTTGTGAAATTGTTCTGTATAGGTGTAATATTGTGTATCAATCATGTATATGTTTTGGTATTAATGTAAGTGTGTATTTATAATTATGTATTTATGCACGTATGTATGTTTGCCATTGTAAACCAAATTGCACTTCTGGGACCAATAAAAATGTAACTTATTATTCATTATTTGTGTCACGACGCGGAGGAATCAGGCGCTCGTCAATACTAGGCATGTGGAGTTATTGATACCATCTTAAACAGTGTTCATTTGTCTAGCTTTAGAGGAAAAAATATGCATTTATCTTGAATAGAGCTCGAGATATTTATGATTAAAGGAGGTGGGGGTAGCCTGCTTTCAGAGGTAAAATTAATGAGAAAATGGCCCCCCAAATCTAGTGACTTCCAAGGCTTGAGAGTCTTTGGGAACAGCAAATTTACAACGTAGAAATGTGTTTTAAATGGGTATAGAAGGTATTGAGCCAAAAAAAAGAATAATCGAAAAAATTTGCCTGACGACCAGAAAGAATGCTGTTTCTTTGATTACATTACTTTGACAAGCGCCTGATTGCACTACGCTGCTTCACATTTGGTCACTTTTAAACACAAGTGGTCTATCCTGAAAAATGCTGCTTTGAGAAAATGGAAGGTAAAGCGTCTGGACCCTTTTTCAGTTTCTTTAAAAGACAAGGAGAGTTTTCTCTATAACCAAACAAATATACACACCAATGACACCAAACTTCTCCTTTACGTAGGGAAATGCCCACTTTTGGGGTAGGTCAAGATTTCTGGAAACCCCCAAAATCTGGGTTAGCCCGCTTGTCCTTAAAAGAGACCATTTATAAGTGTAAGACTCTGTCCTGCACAAACAGTCACTGTGACCGTTCATTGATGGTGATAAGATGAACAAATGGCTCACCAGAGTGACGGTGAAGATGAAGACGGCAAACAGAGAAAACACGACGGTCCCAGCCAGGCACATCAGCTTCCGCACGGCGCCTCTCTCCATCACAACACTCCTGTGGCAGGAAAGGAGTAGCGGGGGAGGGGGAGGAGGAGGGGGATGGGGGGGGGTGGGGGAGGAGGAGGAGGGGAGGGTGAGTTCAAGATTAGCACACCGACATAATGATAAAATATATAAAATTATACAATAAACAGCATTTGTGTAGTGCATATCACAAGACTCCTGAGGCATGAAAGGATTGGCGGGGGAGGGGGGAGGAGGGGAGGAGGAGGAGGGGAGGGTGAGTTCAAGATTAGCACATGAGAGGGGAAGGTGGTGGTAGTGGGTGGGGGAGGGGGGAGGAGGGGAGGAGGTGGTGGGGGCGAGTTAAAGACTAGCACAGGACATAGTCATAAAATATATAAAATTATTTAAAAACCAGCATTTGTGTAGAGCGTATCACAAAACTTCTGCGACCTGAAAGGACTGGGGGAGCAAATTAAAGATAAGCACATTGCCGTGATAATACTAAAATAATAATAAATAAACAGCATTTGTATAGATAATATCCTCGCTCTAGTTCCTCGCAAGCTCTATGCCCATTATACCCAGTGTCCATTGGCATGATCGGACTGGATCGGTTCGGTACGGTTTGGTTTGGTAGCCAGTTTGAGGGAGAAAGGCAACCATCGTGGCACAAACCGAACAAAGCCAAAGGTGACCTTCAAAAACAAGCGTGTTTGTTTTCAAGGCTGCGAGTCGTCAAACAGTGTGTGTTAGAGAACTGATCCCCCAAAGGACACTCGGTATTACAATCTATATTATATTATAAATCATAACAGTTGTTTGTTTTGTTTTAGTAGAGGTTTTACCGCGCTCGCAACTGCATAAGGTCATATGAGCGCCAAGGGGTGGATGTCAACAGAGAAGTCCTTACAGGGAATCAGACTTACTCTGCTCACCTCTCTAGCTTCGAGAGCACAGAGTCTACTTAACAGCAGTTTAAGTCTGGGAAAAAGCAGGGCAGAAAAAAAAGCAAGGCAGACCAATAGACATGACTGATGGTTGGTGAGGAAGGACGTGCCAGGGACGCCCTCTGGTCACCCTGCAAGATCTTTGCATCTCTAATTTTAAGACAAACAATTCCCACAAATACAGTCGGACCTGCTTTAACAGCCAACTGTATAAAACAATCACCTGTACAAACAGCCACCTCGTATTTCCCCCAACCCCCCTTTGGTTTGTTGGGGTTTTTTTTACACTACAGTATCCATAATGAAAAATTACAAGTAGTGCACATATCTCTTATCATGGGTCAAGTCAAACATTGCATATTTCCGTCACTGGGCCAAGTCGGGGGGGGGGGGGATTAACAATTTCCTTTAATAGCCAAAAATTGGACAATAAAAAATAAAAAGCAATCCATCTTCAATTATGAGAGTTACACCTCTCAACTCTCACATAATTAATTATGCATTATAACGACACTGCGTAAGAGGTCCACCTGTTTAAGACGACCGTTTTTGGGGGGTTTTTTCTCCTGGACTAAAGGCCGCCATCTTAGAAAACTTCAACTGTACTTCAACAACTTTGTCCTTTTAAAACGACCAAAATTATATTTCTACGTAACCAGGCTGTTGCACAAATGGTTTCTACTTTTTTTTTTCTCCAGAAAAATTTTCTCTCAATTTTATAAACACTTTCGACTTTTGTTCAAGATAGATGGGTATATTTTTTTTATCAAAAGCAAGACAAATGAACAAGCCTTCAGACGATACCAAGAACTTCAAGAGCCCACCAAAGCTCACAAGCGCCTGATTTTACCGCATTGTGAGACAAATTTATTACTACGTAACCAGGCTTAGAAGCAGGTATTAGAAGCAACAGAAATGTGGTTTCTTAGGAGACTGCTAAGAGTATCGTGGAAGGAAAAGAAATCAAATGAGGTAGTGCTTGATGAAGCCCACGTGGGACGCTCAATGTTAAAAACAATCAGGAAACGACAAATGCAGTTTTTGGGACACCTGAATAGACATAAGGGTCTTGAACTTCTATCTCTCACTGGCAAAATTGAGGGCAAGCGAGGCAGGGGTAGGCCCAGAACAACATACTAAGGGAACCTAAACAAATGGGTAACAGGAAAAGACCAGGGAAACGTAGCTTTTTTGAGAGCATCCGAGCAAAGGAATGAATGGAAAACCATGATCGCCGATGTCTGTCGCAGATCTGGCACTGGATGACGATGAACCTGGCTGTTACACGATAAGGTTTCTACTTCCTTTCCCGCAAAATTTCCTCTCAACTTTATACAGTAGTTTTAGTACAGGTTTTACGGCGCTCGCAGCTGCATAAGGTCATAGGAGCGCCAGAAGATCAGAGGTGTTACGAGAGGGTAACAAACATAAAAAAGAAAAAGGGGAGATAAGGACGATAGATGTTTGATAGGAAAGAAGAAGCAAACCACACCAGAGCACCCGCCAACCACCCACAAAAAACTATTTGCTGACAACAAAAAAGTGTGACAACACAATTCTGAGCCCTTACCTGACCAAAGAGACCACCACCTCGAAGCCCAGAGAGGCTGCTCCCAAATAGATGGTGTACGGCATCACGGTCTCCAGCCATCTGGTAAACTGTTGCTCACTGAAGGCTGAAGATAGACAGGTTTTTGGGGTTGTTTTTTTTTCATGTAGGTGTTTTTGAGGCCCCCATCTGTTTCTTTTTATCCAACATGTGTGTGCGTGTGTGTGTGTGTGTATGTGTGTGAGTGTGTGTGTCTGTGTGTGTGAGTGAGTGTGTGTGTGTGTGTGTGTGTGCGTGAAAGGAGGGGAAGGGGGGTCAGGTAGGTCCTGCTTCTTTTACAACCTTCTAGAGATTTTTTAAAATATTTTGATGTTTTTTTTATGCCTCCATCGTTATGTCAGTAAAAGTATATAAAACAAATAAATCTCCCTACTTTGCTGACATATATAACTCACCGATCTTTGAGTGCACTGTAAAGTCTGGGTTGAGCTTGATGTTAAACAGTAGCACGGTCTGGTAGCCGATGTATCCCAGCACCACCAGGGGGAACAGGTAGTTGGCCACGCCGCTCAGACCGCTCCAGGCCACCGACTTCTTCTTGGAACTCACTGGACAGATCAAATACAGATGGTCAGAGGCTAAAAGAGAGGTTTTTTGGGGGGGGGTTTTTGGTAAGTGTTTTACGTCGCGTGCAACTGCATACGGTCAAATGAGCGCGCAGGACACACTAAACATTTTTAATTGGTAAGAAATTTTGAATTTTGCCCGGGTGGCGGCCGAAGCTTACTCTTATTGATTTTAGACCACCAAAGGATCTTTATCATGCGCAACTTGCACACGTGCCCTCCGAAATTGTTCGCCCTTGTCCAAGAAGGCTAGGTGTAGATCTTTCCTACCAGAAGATCAGGGGTGTGGCTGAAAGAAGCAGTAAGGAGCCAAGGAGTAGTAGTAGTCAGGAGCCCAGAGGAGGGGGCAAAGGAGTGAGGGGTGGGGGCAGAAAGAGGAGATGAAAGCAGATGACAGAACGTTGCTAGAGAGCAGGAAAGGAGGTGAATGGAGACAATTTTAGAGAAGAAAATTGTTCGGTCACTACCTGGATTCTAACCCGGGACTTTACAATGAGAGGCCAACACCATAACCTCCAGGCCACGAGGGCCCCCAAAAGGGAATTAAAGACTCAACCTTTAGTATAGTTTGAGAAAAGAGAAGCCTAAAAAGAAGGGTGACCTGGAAAGATTAAGATATCGTAGCTTTATAGAGAGTAATCGAGCAACGGAATGAATGGAGAAAGGTGATTTCCGATGTCTGAAAAGCAATACGGCCTGAAAGTGGCGCCCTTTAACTATCTGCTGTAAAAAAAAATTTATACACTCAAATCACTCTGAAGTTGTACACATCCAACCATTCTTAATTCTTTAAACCCCACAAGCAGGACGCTGGGAGCGTCCAGTACTAGTGACAACTGTTTCGTTTAATTTAGTACTAGTATTTTACTTGTGTTTCGGAACTTTTCCTGAACCAAGTTTTTTTAGTAATGACTAAGCCTTTGTTTTCGCAATTAAGAAGTTGAAGGCAAGCTTTTGGGATTATAACCAGACATAGTGGACCAGGTTTGGGTGACTGTACAAAAAACTCCGGCAAACGGTGGAAAGAACTCAGGGTTTAAAAAGCTAAGATATATTTCTTTAGAACAGATATGTCTGTTGGCACTGCACTCAACACCTATCATGCATTGCAAAAATGGTCTTAGATACACACATGGAAAACTTTACAGAAATCAAGGGGCTTGGTTACCTCAAAAGCGAAAACTATCTCTGGCCATTAATGCACCAGTCTGCATTGAAACAACTAAATTAAGCTAAGCCTGAATTAACAGCACAAACCTATGTTTTGGATGAGCATACCTTCGCATAAACTGAAAACTTCATGAAGAGTGACATGGGTACCTGAACAAACAAAATTACAAAGACAAAATATTATTTACACTAGCTTCATCCGCTCTTATGCCATACTTCGTATTTCCTGACCTGCATTTTTCTTCTGTATTATAATGACACTACCCACAACGTCAGTCTGTCTAAGACAACCGACCACTGTATCTTGACAAAACGGTGGCCGCGTTGGACAGTTTCAATTGTATTCTTGTTCCACCGAAACTAACACAACCGTTCTTGTTCTTCAGCTGGACTTGTAAAAGTCTTGTCCTAATCTAAAATAGATTGTAAAGCGCATAGAGCTTGCTGTTGGGCGGGAATTTGCGCTATACAAATGTTATCTGTCATTACTAATCATTACTCCTGTAATGGAATAAAAAGGGAGTGGTGGCGGAGTGGTTAGTGCGCTTGTCTCCGATACAGAAAGTCCAGGTTTGAACCTCGGTTCGGACACTGATTTTTTTGTCCATTCCTGCCCACCCAGCAGTACAGTTAGGGAAGTAAAGGCAGCGTGGAAAGGAACTGGCCAACCTACCACAATATGCCGAAGGCCCAGGAAGTTGTCTCACTAACAAGCAATCCCCAATGTCCGGATCGGATGCGGGAACAACTTTACTTTTACTGGAATAAAACAGACAGAATGCCTGACTGACAAACCTTTTTTATACTTGGGCTGAGAGAACATACAGAAGGAGTCGTCCAGCAGGGAAATGCACAGTGTGATGGTCAGCAGGTTGAAGAAGTTGTAGTTGCCTGTCACAATGATCATCATCTGCAGCAGAACCTGAGAGAAGAGACAGAAAAAAAAAGTATTATTTTAGTAAGAGTTTTACAGGACTTGCGACACAATTTGGTCCTTTAAGAGCCAAAAATTAGAAGAGTTACAGACAGTTATAAATACAAAAAAAGAAGGGAGATAAATACCACAGATGTTTGATAAGAAAGAAGGAGCAGATCACATCTAAGCACCCACCAACCACCCACAAGAGTAAAATATCAAAATGTTCTTAAACATAAGACATTTAAGTCTGACTTGCAACACAATAAGGTCATATAAGTGCTGAAGATTAGAGGTGTGCGCAAAAAGGTTTGTTCTGTTCACAACAGTACGCTGTACAGCCCGATATTGGTCAACATCCTTATTAAAATGCTAAAATACTAAAAATTTGATGTAAATAAACATTACCTCGATAGGAAAGAAGGAGTAAACCACACCAGAGCATCCGCCAACTACCCACCCTGATAACAGTACCCAGATTAATGTACTGTTATACAGAAGCCCCTCTTGAGGTACCGGGATCGAGTTATAGTTTTAGTAAGAGTTTTACGGCACTTGCAATACCAAGAAGGTCATATAAGTGCCGAAAATTATAGGTGTAACAAGACAGTAACAAACATTTAAAGAAAAGAAGGAGGAGAGATAAAGACGATAGACGTTGATAGGAAAGAATGAGAAAACAACACCAGAGCATCCGCCAACCACCCACCCCGACAACAGTAGCCTATCCAGATTAATGTATTATAGGGCAAACAGAAGTCCCTCTCGAGGTACCGAAATCGAACAAATGTCCATACACACATTGAGGATTAGATTCGGGAGGG